GATTTCATCTTCTCCTATACTAGAAAACTTCTTTGTCAACTGCTATACATTTCCCATTCCCCCTCGTCCTGTCACCAGGCACATGGGAGAACAGGCCAACCCCCATCTCGCTAGAGCCTCCTTTAATGTACTTATACAGAGTGATAAGGTCACCCCTGAGCCTCCTTTTCTCTAGGCTGAACAAGCCCAGCTCCTTCAGCCGCTCCTCATAGGACTTGCTCTCCAGGCCCCTTACCAGCTTCGTCGCCCTTCTCTGGACCCGCTCAAGCACCTCGATGTCCTTCTTGTAGCGAGGGGCCCAGAACTGAACACAGTACTCGAGGTGCGGCCTCACCAGAGCCGAGTACAGGGGGACGATCACCTCCCTAGCCCTGCTGGTCACAGTGTTTCTGATACAAGCCAGGATGCCGTTGGCCTTCATGGCCACCTGAGCACACTGCTGGCTCATATTCAGCCGACTGTCCACCATCACTCCCAGGTCCTTCTCTGCCTGGCAGCTCTCCCACCACTCATCTCCCAGCCTGTAGCTCTGCTTGAGGTTATTGCGCCCCAGGTAGAGGACCCGGTACTTGGCCTTGTTTCATAGCGATGGAAGGATAATGAGACAAAGTGCCAAACTATATGAAAATCAAATTGCTGTACCATGTGTAAAGGGCTTGTTAACTATTCCTGCTCAAAGGTTTTCATGAACTTAAACCAACTGTGTCCTTAAACTGTAGTATTTAAATACCAGAGGCTCTATTCAGGGTGACTAAGTATGTTTGGGCTGTGTTTCCATTAACATACAAGAAATTCTTTTAAGTTACAGTAAAGTTGTGACAAATGTTTCTGCAATCCTTTATTTAAAAAGACAATTGTCAAGGTGTTTCTTATGATTTTTTAAATCTTTTTTTTTCTTCTTCTGCAGTTACAAAAGCACAATGGGTATGTGAAATGGTAATGGTAGTATAATAGAAGTGATTATAACTCCTGAAAACTGCTGATATATATTAGAAATAATTTGAACTGTAATAAAGAATAATTAGCAGCTAGACATGAAGGTTCTTTCTAGATGATCTGATGACCTAGTTACAGACAAAAGGGACTATGACAGCGTCTGAATACATGTGAGATGTATGAAACTGAATTTTCTAAGTTGAATTGTACAGTCTTGTTAAACTTGATGTATTGAATAAATATTGAAAATCTTGACAATATAGCGTATTTTTTGACCAACAAAGTATATATCCTAGACCCTGAAGTACTCATGTGATTCTCCATATGTAGACTTTTACATTTTTGAAATAGGACAGTTCATGTTCTGATTCTGATCTCAGAATTTTCAGCAGAGTTTAACTGACGTTCTTTCCTAGGCGAGATGTCAGATTGCAGAGTACAAACAAACTGGTGCATCATATAATATGTACCTCAGTCTGAATTTCAAAAGACCTGTGCTGCATAGGCACAAAATAAGTTAAATCATTTATGTGTATATTGTTCCCATTACCCTTGATATTTCGGACGTTCAGCACATAAAAACAAAACAAACACATTTAGATATTCAAAAATAATAACTTAAGGCGGGTCACCTTCAATTCATATCTGTTTAATTTCTAAGAAAATAAACTTTTTTCCTGATTTTTACATGTAAAATATTGAAAGACATAGAATGATCATAGAATGATCAAACAGGAGTTTGATCATTGCTTCTAGAACAGTTACAATCATAACACAGTATTTGTCTTAGAAAATGAACGTAGGGCTTCTAATTACAGCTGTATATCAAAAGGACCAAAAATATGGTGACTTGTTCTCTTTAGAACAGTGTCTAAGTACTTGTTGTGTGCTCTACATCTGTTACATGACAGGTTGTTAATGATGTGTGTGTTCATTAAAGGTAAAGTGCCTCCTGTGTGTTGTAGTACTTAAATTTGTCTCTGAAATCCTTACTTGAGTACCCATGGTACATTTTCCTAGATTAGGAAAATTTTTGGACCTTTGAGAGGTCCAAAGCTGCACTAGTAGCTGCACTATTCTCAATCAGTTCTTCTGTCAATGGTCACCATTGTTCATTTCTTACAAGTCACAGATTTCTGACAAAGTTGCTGAGTATCCAGAAGATGAAAGGTTAGCTCTGATATAATAGGATTTTAATAAAGCATTAGAATAAAATTTTCATGAAATCTTACTCAACAAAGTGAGATCAATAAAATGATTTTTTTGTAGGCTGAGAACTGAGGAGTTATAAACAAAAGACAACAAGGATAAACAGTAATATATCAAGTTGCATATTTAAGGATTTCAATTCTTTCACTAATAGTTATAACAGCAATAACAATGAGGGTGCTGCAAGAACAGGGAAGAAAAGTTTATAAGGAAGTAAGTTTATAAGTTCCACTGTCATTAAAAAAAAAAAAAAAATGTTTAAAGAAACATTTGAAAGTATTAATAGGTTTGCCAAAACCAAATGCTTACCAGAGGTAAAAAGCAGTTCTGAAATATTGCCATGCATGTTACTGGGGCCAAAATCATACACCAAGGAGAGGAAGACTCTTAAAAAGTCTTGTAAGATTTCTATAGTTTTACTGAGTGCAGGTGCCCAGGTGTTGGTGGCAGGGGCTGCAGGGCAGCCTCTATGAGGAGAGACCAGGGCTGCTCCACGCCAGACACAGCTGGTTCCAGATGGTTCCAGCGGCCCTGCCGTAGGGCAGGGCTAGACCCAGCAGCCAAGATGGAAGTGCCTTGGAGAAAATGACAGAGAGCAAAACTCTGCATGGCAGTGAGGAGCAAGGAAAATTAAATATGAGAAACAATCCCACCCAATGTCAGTGAAGAAAGAAGTGAAGAGGTACTTCAGGCACCAGAGTAGAAGTTCCCTTGCGGCCCATGGAGAGACCATTATGGAGCCTCCATTAAAGAAGAGTGGAGAAGAACATGGTGAGTTAGGTGGCCCACAGAGAGGAGCAGGGGAAAAACATGAGGATAAAGGAGTGGCAAAGAGAAACGGCTGTGGTTTTCAGACCATAACCCCATTTCCCATCCACCTGTGCTGCTTGTGGAGTGGGGAGGTTGAGGGAAGGGAATTGGAAATAAAGGAGTGAAGGGGAGCCTGGGAGAAAGGGGATGGGAGTGGGGGGAAAGAGTTTCAGTGTTTTTGTTTGTTTGTTTTTGTTTGTTTGTTTTCACTTTGTTTTTCACTGACGTATTATTTTTACCTGGCAATAAATTAGATTAATCTTCCTGTAGTTGAGTCTGGTTTGCTTGTTACAGTAACTGGTAAGTGGCCTCTCTGTCTTTATCTCAATCTGTGAATCTATGTGCTTTTCCATTATATGTTCTCACCTATCTTTTTCAGAATGGATAATGAGGAAGTGGCTGAGTGGGCAGCTGGATTAGGCCAATCCACCACAGCAGGTAAATTAAAAGAAAATATAGATTATTTATGAATAAATTATTTATCTCTAGCTGTAGAGAATCTCAAAGGACAATTGTGATAGCCCGATTGTTGGAGACATTAAATAGTCTGTAAAGAGTCATAAAAAGGCTACTCTATGGAAGATCTACTCTGTGCTGATAATGGGATTGGTTGGAGAGTTAATTCATCTTTTCACCTCTGACCTCAGTTATTCATAAGGATGTTTCTGCCTTTTGTTTTTTCATTGACACAGAAGACTGGAATACTATTGTGATGGAATATGCATGGTAGCATCTGTTGCATGTGTCCAAATTTAAGCATTATGTCTTTTATTTGTTGAATTAGAGATAAAACAGAGTTGTTACCTTGTAAGAAATTAATTTTCAACAATAGGGTTTCTTCATGGAGGTTGCTAAATTGTAATTGTTACTGCTACAGTGCTATCAATGTTTATTAAATGTCCCAGTCTTATGCAGAGGTTGAACTGAACAGAAGTAAAAAAATTCTAAAAGCAGAACTGCTTGATTTTTTTTTTTCTTAATTGAACCTACCCTGTAAATCCTGCTTTGATGTAGCCTAAATTTTTCATTAAATCACTTTAAGAAAAAAAGTTACAAAATGTTCTCTAAACAAGAAAAACTTGTTAAAATGTCTTATTCTCCCCCCACCCCAATTCAAATTACACATACATATGTGCATATAAAATATCTAAGAAAATACATGTAAATGTTTATTAATTGTCTCTGCTGAATGGAATGCAAAAAATAATCGCTTATTTTATATATATATATTTTTTAAATTTTAGAAGTAAAACCAAGTCAAGATACTTGATATAGATAACATTTGAATTTATACTTTAAGTTGTATCTGAGTTACAGAGGAACAGTTTTACCCTTGGTTTTAAACATAAAGACTACTCATTTTCTCTGGTGGAAAATCTCTCCAGGTTCCTTCTATAATATATAGAAAGAGAGAGGTTCTTCCTGAGGGCAAAGCAGAATCAAAAATTAGGTTTAGAATCCCTCTTCTGAGTATTATAGAATCCTCTTCTGAATTGTCTCTAGAGAAGTTTTTGTCTCTCCCTCAGTTACAGTGGGAGTCTTGGGAGATTAGCCTCCATGAGTTGGTGTTTTAAAGCAGTGCTCTTCTCTGATTTGTTCAAGACATCTCAACATGAGCTACAAGATTTCTGTTCATTACTATGATCTTTGGATCTAGATGGGAAGGTACTCATCTAGAAATTGAGATCTTCCACCCTTACTAAGTCACATTTATTTTAATATTTTAAACTTAAAAAATGGAATGTTAAAGACATAATATACCATAGTATACATTAGGCACTTCTTGACAAATAAGAGAATAATGCTCAAAGAATAAAGTAACTAAAAAGTGAACACAAACACAATAAAGTTTCATTTTGAAATAAAATACATTTTTTCCCTTAAATTAAATTGTAAAAATCCATTTCTACACATTTATATATATATAATACTAATTTTTATATAAATGTATATCTCAATATAAATACTGAATATTTCATTTAACATTTTTAGGAATGGAAACCAGTTTTGAAATATTAAAATGGGAATTTCCCTTGAAACCAGATTAATCACACTTGGCTGTTTGTAATAAAAAAATGTAGGCTGCTGAGCAGTGCTTGTTTAACTCTCCAAAAGACTTCTGGCAGATCTCTGATATTTAATAACTGTGTCCATACTGCTAAATATATGGTGGCCATGGACTGAACTTCAGATCTGAGGCTAAATGTGAATGGATTCACATCCATGCTGATTTACAGAAACTCTTCTGGAGTTGAGAAGCATTCACTTTACACAGCACATGGCTATCAGTCTCTTCACCAGTGTGTGTGTTTGCCCGCAACAACTTTTTTTTTTTTCCTACAAAACTAAAGAGTTAGGCTATATGTAGCGTGCCCACTGTATACTGTGTCTCCAGTGGTCAGTTTACCCAGCAAAGATTTATTTGGGAAAAAAATAATGGAAGAATGTTTACATACAAAACTTTAAAAAACACATGGCAGAGGACAGAAGAAATGGTGGTAGGTGTAAGGAGCCAAAGTTTTAATGGGCAATGTCCTCAGTCCTAGTCCTAGCTTTCATGCTGTACAGCTAGGTTATATTATGCCACGAATGGATATGAGGAATCTAATAGTAAAACTCACATCAGTTAGATACAGCAAATTAAAATATAAATTGCAAACCAATCTCCCCCCAACCCTTGTTGTTGCGGGGTAGGCCCTTTCTTTTAAAATTTATTCTTAATCCAGATTATGGATTACAACAAACTCTACAGAACCCCCAATACCACTTTATTTCTGTCACAGCCAAATGTGGCTGCCTGTCTGTGCCTGTGTTCACAGAATCACAAAATGTTATGGATTGAAAGGACCTTGACAGATCGTCTAATCCAATCCCCCGCCATTGCAGGAACACCTAGATCAGGTCACACAGGAATATGTCCAGGTGGGTTTTGAATGTCTGCAGAGAAGGCAACTCCACAATCACCCTGGGCAGCCAGTCTCAGCATTGACACCGTCACCATGAAAAAGTTTCATCTCATATTTAAGCGGAACCTCCTATGTTACAGCTTGCACTCATTGCCCCTTGTCCCATCATTAGATATTGTTCTTGCTCAGATGCAGGATTCTACACTTGCTCTCATTATATTTCATTATTTTTCTCAAATATTTTTTTTCCCAATTCTCCAACCTTTCGAGGTCCCGCTTGATGGCAGCACAAGGTTTTCTTAACAACATTCTAGACTTGACTCCTGATGGTGGCTCATGGGATCTTTGTGCCTTCTGTTTCCCCTGCAGCTCCTCTGGAAAAGTGCAGTCTCCCCTTCTTGGAGTGGTCATACAGTTGCAGAATACAGAAGTCAAGAAAAGATAAACTTTGGGCTCAGCTGCTTGGTTACATTGGACTTCAAGACAGAAAATACAATGAATGCTGAGCAGCCAAGTTAAGCAGTTACACAAATTATCATCCAAGGATATGTAAAATTTTGTGCATTCGAAAGCTTTGAAATGTTGCTTGAACATTGCTTCATGGGATGGAAAAAGATGTTATACCTCACAGAAAGCAGAATGGTCATCCCGTCTGGGCTGAGCTAGGACAGTCAGGTTCATCACCAGAGTCAGAGAGACTGCACCACACTAAAGCGGGTGTGTGTGTATGAAGCAGTTAGCAGTTGTGTTAATAACTGCAGGATCTCAGTACTGATGAAAGGAAGGGGAGATCAGCAGTAGAGAGTGGAGGTTTGCATCTGAAAAGAAAAGTGTAAGGATGCTAAAGAGTAGACAGCATAAAAATGTGTAGCTTTTCCCAAACTTGCATTCTCCCAGGAATGCAATCTGTGGATATAATGATTGCACAACCTTTTGTTCACACAATTGCGTAAGTGTCTGACTGTTTTTCCGGGGCTGTTAAAAAAGCCCACCAAGCTGTACAGATTAGAACTTTTGAGTTTATTCTGCTGTGGTCTGCTAAGAAGAGTGTGCTGCTTTCATCATCTGGTGTACAGGAATAGCTAGAATATCTTGACATTTAGTAAAATACCGGGAAGAGTAATTGAATGCAGAAGAAGCTTATAGCACACATTTAAGCATTAATTTTGATATTTGAAAATGGAGATTACAAACCATATCTTGCTTTTAAAAGCAGGTAAAATTTTATAAGAACACTGCTTATAAAAAAAAAAAAAACACTCATAATTTTACTTAAATGTTATCATGTAAGTCATATAAAGTGAATTTGAAGAAGCATTTTCAGTTACTTTAGACCTGGATAGCATGCCACTGGGAACCTACATATGTACCTTTTTGCATAATGGCATATATAGAGCTTGTTGGCTATGCTTTTCCTCTAGTGCTGTAGTCAATGTTAAATTTGTAGACTTGAGCTCAGTATGTTTAGCATTAGGCATTAGGAAGAAAGAGTTTATTACTGATTAGTTGCATCTACTATCCCCTTCTGGAAACCTAATTCTGAAAACTCCTTTCATCACAAAAACCTGAATCCCTCTTTAGAAAGCACAGCAAAAGAAAAAAAATATCTGTGAGGCAAAAGAAAATCTTTTTCTTTGCTGAAGTCAAATAATACTAACTTGTGAATAACTATTATTTCATACAAATTTTTGTCAGGATTTAAAAAAGGAAAGTGGTATCATTATAAGCAAAACCTGTGATAAATAATTGAATCTCGCTGAGATATTCATTTTAATAACATTTGTTCTGACTGCCCATGAAAAGCATAATGACTTCCAATGAGCTAAGTCCTTTAAAACTTTCTTTAGACCTTCCTATAACTCAAAGAGAATAAGTCTGGAATATTCTTTGAAATTGAAGCCTTATATAGCTAATTGTATCAGAAGTCTGCTTCAAATCAAAATTTGAAGATGGTTTAGAGAACAAAAGTGGATAATGCCTTTGCTTCTTCAAATTTGCTTATAAAACCAAATATTCTTTGTACATTTTCAAGATAATATTGGTTTAGGAGCAAAAAATAAGCATTTAATCATATTAGGCAATATTATTTTTGATATAAAAATATGTGCTAAAATCTAACTCAGCTAGTACATAAAGCAGGAAGCTGGACTCAGTGATCCTTGTGGGTCCCTTCCAGGATGCTCTATGGTTTTATGATAAAAATGTTAAAAGGGATTTTTTCCTTTTATCTGTTTTCCTTTTATCTAAGGAAAATTATTTTTTGTTTGAAAGTAGGAGAGGCATTCATTTAATAAGTATAGTATTCATGCAAAACTGTTCACTTCTTCAAAAAGTTTTTACTCATTTTAAACAAAAAGGTAATATAAATTTATTTTTAAAATGTGTTGAATTAGTATCATCAGTCATCAGTTATTGCATTAATTTTATTAAGACAGGCTTATAAAGAGTCATACATAAGAAACAGTTTTTAGCCTTTCCAGAAAACCTAAAGGAACAACTTTGGTATCCAAACGTATAGAAATGTGAAAGCATAAAATGTTTCATTTATCATTCTATTAACAAGAAAAATAATGCCAGATAATTTATGAAGCACTGTCTAATTAATTCATTAGCTATTATGAATATTTGTTATTGAAAGAAGTGTATCTGAGGGAAGACATTATTTAGATAGTTAAAGTTGAAAAGTATTGAAGAAGGAATGTTTAAAAAAGTAGTCATTTAAATGTTTGATATACTGATGAAACAATACTAATAATGCAAGTTTGATGTTTTGATATGTACTTGCTGGATATGTTTCTACCCTGGTAAACAGGGAGCATATCAGCCTCATTTACCCTGCTGTAGCAACCAGGTTTAATTAATTTTTTTCTGTTGGCTCTCTTCAAGAAGGTTATTACATTTCTCTGTCAACTGTTATTTTTTTGAAAATATAATTAGACCTAAACCTTTCCAAGAGCATTTTATCAAATTTGATAGCTTAAATGAGAGACATTGTCCTTTGCAAATTCATATGTTTTCATTAGTTTAAAAGGCCTCCCATCAGAACTTTTCATTAAATTTATATGAGATTTCTGGTGTGTAATTCCATGCTTAGCAATATTCGTTTTCTTCTGCAATATTACCCAAACACTTTTGTTGTTTGTTTGTTTGTTTGTTTTTTAATTATTATTACATTTAGTGTTATATTCCCATCCTTTGGTGCGCTTATGCTGAAGGAGATGATAATTAAAATTGTATAAGTTTTTTTTTTTTTTTTTTTTTAAACAGAAATAAGATATTTTTATGGGTTTCAGGAAAATAATCACTAACAGCTTCACTAAATCTTTAAATGCAGTTCCAATGAGATAAATTTTCTTACTGAATTAGATGCTTGTTAGCATGATAAATTTTTGCTTTAACCTTTGCAAATTAGAATATTAATGTACAGAATAATACTATTAACCCTAACAGAAATAACATTAGTGACTGTAATTCCATTTTGATCAAAGACAACAAAAGGTTCAGATTTGAATCTGTTTATGATGGCAGCAAAAGAAGTGCTGCCTGGTGATTGTAATGTCATTCTCTGTTGAGACAGTTAAGGTAAGGGCTTGCTACCTGTAGAAATCCATCTTTTAGCTATGTAATGTCAATCTTGAAAAACTGTCTATGTTTCTGTTACATCAAGATTAAACACCTGTGTTGTACACCTAACCAGATTTACTTTTAAGCTTATTCTTGCAGTGGAAATGTTATAATGGTTCTACTTGCTTGTTCCTCAGACTTGAAGTGAGGAAGTTGACCAAGCTTGCCTCTCACACTCTTGGGAGAGATTAGTTCTCTCGTCTGTAATAGATCATTGAGTTCTGTCAAGTGTTAAAATATGTTTCACTGATACACTACGAACTAGCCTTGTGCTTTTGAGGCCAAAATTGTCAGTCAGAAGTAACAAAATAAGAAAAATTCTCTAGAAATTCTGTGTATTTGATATTTCTGAAAAGAAACCAGATATTTATGATGGGTAAGTATGGAGCTCATGATTTCGGTAGATTCTTTGAAAAAATAAACTGCACCTTCACATTCCTAAAAATCAACAAGAATACTTTGCCTACATTAAGGAGGTAATCTTATACATATATATATAAATATATAAATAAATATAAATTATATATATAAATATATTTATAGGTAGGAGTCAGCTACTTGAGCAAACTTGTTGCTTAGAGAAGCTGAAATTAATGAAAGGGCCCTGAGAGTTGAATGTAGTCAGACATCGTATTCCAGAACACTGGAAAGCAATGATTTCCCACTGGAAATCCTTTGATATCAGACTATCAGCAATGAACTTAAGTACCTATGGCCAACTCTTTCTCCTGGGAGGCAGGCAGACTTCCATGACACCTTTTGATATCCAATACAGCAGTCACTGGGATAGGGCTGAGTCTTTTCATCAAGTCCCAGTAGCATAGCTTAGAGCAGAAACATAAATTCAGGCTATCTACAGACCCTGGGAAAAATAAAAAAGCAGTCTATGGGGAATTAATAATTTCATTATTTCCTCACCAAGCTATTCTGTGAGGTATTCTTTCTAATAAATACATGTATTTGTATATGCAAAACCACCACCACCACCAACAACAACAAAAAACAAACAAACAACTAAAACAAAACAAACCAGCCATCACCCCCAGCAACCTACAAAGAATCAGTTTTCCTACATCCCAAGTAAAAGTTTGAGGCACAGAACCAATAACCAGTCACTTATTTTCTTTTTCTACCTTTTTGTCCAACCAGTTCATACCTTATCAAGCCCTTGGCTCAGGAGGTTAATTAGAAGTCTGCCCAAGTATAAGGGAGACCCATGGCTCCAAGACACTCATCAAGGTCAGTATTTGGACAAATATATTTGCCAACATAAAGGCATCTGTCTATCTATGTAGGTGGCGGTATGACTTCAAAGCAGAAATGTAGGCAACATAAGGGAATGAGGCACTTGCAGCACAAGGTAGTATCTGTATGTGTAATGTGAGACTCAGCAGCTTCTAGGCACTGTGTTTAGATGCATTGCCACAGTCAGACACCTACATTGCTTCATGAACTTACCTCAAAGAGGTAGGATTTTCAAAAATGTCTATGTGGAATAGAGTCATAGATTTAATTGTCTTTCAACGGTACATGTACTTTGAAGTAACTTTGGTGCTTTTTGAAAGAAAAAAACTCATCAGATGAAATCAGCCAACTGTCTGGAAAGGGAAAGGCAGATGCTGTTGTTCCTAAACTGCATACATTCCATCCAAATGGGAAGCATGTTCATTTTGCGTATCGGCCACTGCTTTGTGCACCAGAATCAGTTTGTAAGTAGACTTAAGGGATTCATCCCCCTTAAGGATTCACTGAATATAACTAATATGCTCAGTGACACTGAGACGATTGTACTTGCTTGACATCTTTTCCATGTAAATAATGGTAGGGAATAAAGAAAGGTGGTATATCTATCCAGGCCAGAATGGAGTTGTTTTTTGTTGTTGTTGTTCTTTGTTTTGTTTTTTCCTTGCATGTGTGCCACAGTCTGTAGAGGTGTATGGTACAGGCTACAAGGTTTTGGAAAGACATGGACTATGTCTTACAACCAAAGCCTGTATTAAAGAGAATGGATATAGTGAGGAGTGGTATTTGCTTAGAGGGACAGCCTGAGGACCTGACAAAACCTGTCTGATAATGGCAAATACAGTCATTACAGTTCTATACAGTAAAATCCCTACTAATACTGGCTGTTTAGCAGGTAAGGATGATTTTTTTCTGAGTTTATCAACTCTACTATCTTCCAAGCAAAAGGCTTACAATAATAACCATTTCCTTTTCAAACCAACAGAAGGAAATTCTTGTCTCAAGAGTCTGTTATTTCTCTTGTGATTGTATTACTCCAGGATCCTCTTCATAGCATTTCTTTCTTCCCTTAAACAAATTTTTACTGTTGTGCTTCCAGAGCAGAAACTGTTGTCAGGAAATGAACTCTTTTATTGTTGTGATCATGAACAACAACAGCACACAAATGGAGCTCTCATGTATCTTCTTGGACACTGATGTATGACATGAGGCAAAGAAGAAACGGACATGAATTCTGTCTACACAATTGTCCTGTATGTTAACATGGTATCTTAGGTGAATACTTGTGCACTATAAAGCTAGAGTGCTCTTTTGTGTGTATATAGCAGGTAGTTCTCTGATTTGAAAAAAAAAACACACATATATCCACAAAGTTGTTTACTGTTTGTTTGTTTGTTTGTTTGTTTCTGTTTTATTTTTTTCCTAATTATTATTTTATTTATTTATTTATTTTTATTTATTTCTACCTATGCATCCCTGCTAAGGAAATGCCTACTAATTATCATTCCTCGTAAGGGGGTGTCGAGAGGCAGGAGACCTTTTCTCCATTAACACCAGTGACAGGACCCGTGGGAACGGGGTTAAGCTGAGGCAGGGGAAATTTAGGCTTGACATCAGGAGGAAGTTCTTCACAGAGAGGGTGGTTGCACACTGGAACAGGCTCCCCAGGGAAGTGGTCACTGCACCGAGCCTGTCTGAATTTAAGAAGAGATTGGACTGTGCACTTAGTCACATGGTCTGAACTTTTGGGTAGACCTGTGCGGTGTCAAGAGTTGGACTTGATGATCCTTAAGGGTCCCTTCCAACTCAGGATATTCTATGATTCTATGATTCTATGATCTGTTATCATCAAAACACATTTTATATTCATATTTTGTCTTGTTAAATTACTTCTGTTGTATCCATTACTTCCAATTAGCTGATTTGATTTATGTGTAGTCATGAAATGTGGAATCATTGAATTTATAGAATCATAGAATATCCCGAGTTGGAAGGAACCCATAAGGATCATCGAGTCCAACTCCTGGCACCACACAGGTCTACCCCAAAATTCAGACCATATGACTAAGAGCAAAATCCAAATGCTTCTTAAACTCCAACAGGCTTGGTGCAGTGAATACTTCCCTGGGGAGCCTGTTCCAGTGTGCAACCACCCTCTCAGTGAAGAACCTCTTCGTGATGACCGGCCTAAACCTTCCCTGCCTCAGCTTGACACCATTCCCACGGGTCCTATCACTGGTGACTAGGGAGAATAGATTGGCGCCTGCCCCTCAGTGTAGGGGCAAGGCATTGTTGTCTACATGTAGCTGTAGACCACAATGAGGTCTCCCCTCAGCCTCCTCTTTTGCAGGCTGAACGTGCCAAATGACCTCAGCCACTCCTCTAGGCCCTTCACCATCTTTGTAGCTCTTTTCTGGGCACTCTCCAATAGTTTTAAATCCTTAGTTCACGTTTTTTCATTTGCATGAAGTTTTTCAGGTTAAAAGTTATTTAAAATAAACTGAATTTCTCTTTCACATTAAAATACCTTGTATTTTCTAGATTTCCATTTTCCTTTTTTATTCTTTTCTGGTGTCTCTCCAGTATTTCTGGATTTTTTTCTCATGCTTATTCTCATTTTCACATCATTTTGTCTTTAGAATTATTTTATGGACTCCATGTCTCTGGTCTCCTATTCATTACATTCCAACTCATGAGGTAGATCCTGCATTTCAGTGTGCAAACCATCAACACGCTTAACCACTTTGTTGCGTTTGCTTTACTTCTTTCTGGACCTCATAGGACTAGCAAGTAAGAGGCAGCCTTACAGAAAGTGCCCAGTTAAATCTTTCTGAAGAATGGAAGACTTCATATTTACTGAAATCTAATATCCAGGTAAACAGTTGCAGTATTTAAAGCTCTGAACAATAGTCCTGCAAATGGGTAATAAAAAATATTTGCATAAACAGTGAAAATTCCATGTCACATATAAGACATTGTTTTCCATTATTAGATTCCTCGGAATATTCTCATGCCAACAGGGCCTAAAAACATAAGGGGTCTGGGGACAGATAAACATTCATCTTGAGACTGAAAACATTGGAAACTTTTTTTGGGCTGTTCTCCAACTATGTTCTAAACTGTGTTGACAGAAATCAAGAGAGGTTTTACAACTGTCACATGCTGTTTCAGGTCTAGTGTCTGTGTGTCATTCTGTTCCTGGGCAAGTGAGTAGGGGCAGTCTTGGTGAGATGACCAGATGATTGGAAGCATAGTACAGTAGCAATTGGAGAACAGCACCCTTAAAAGCTTTAAAATGTCCAGAAAATATTGTTTCAGAAGCCAATAAGGCTTTTGAAAAACTCGCAGGAGAGTCTGGTATGACAAGTGATTACCCTGCTTGTCAAATAAGCAAAGTGTTGCCAAAAAGATTGAGATGGATTTGAAAGTGGGCTTCAAATACAGTTAGGTATTTAAGCTCTGAAAATCTAATCTCTTGTCCCCACAGGCAAGAAAGCAAGCAAAATGTTCTATGAAGTCATCTATTGATCTTTACGTTTCTGAATTGGGTAGTTCCACACGACTGTGAGTAGGGGCAAATATCCTGTGTCATACACACTTTAAGTGAATTTAACTTGATTTTACCATGTAGTCTGTACCTAGAGAAGTATTTACCTGCAGCGACCTGTTTTCACAATTGGGTGTCTGCCTGGCAGGAGTACTGGGAGTGACTTTTGAAATATCCATGTGGTTTAGGAGCATGGACACTATTGAGCTTCTAACTCTCCTTGACACTATTGGAAACTCTTGCATTGCAAACACTTTATAGGACCTGCTGGGATTGTACTGATTTAGTTAGCTCTAACTAAAGTTAGCTCTTCAGAAGAAGTTTAGTTAGCTCTTCTGAAGCCTGTTTTCCAGTTTGCATTTGCCCCAGTTGAAATGCACCTCACTGTGGTAGGAGTAGAAAAGCAAACTGTTAGGGTTTGGTATAGAAGCACTCATACACACTCATTTTTATGCTCATCTTTTGATCTCTTCCTTAAAACCCTGCACGACTCATGAGAATGTGTTTATAGCTGTATAACCCTGAAATGTTATGTTGCTGATGCAGATTGACCTCCATAAATAGCACGTCTTCTATACCAAGATCCATTTTCTCCACTCTCTACTGCTCCTTTGAGATGATTTTTACTGTTGTTCCTAGCTCTGGGGATTTTTGTTGAGAGCCTGTTTGCAGAACACATACCACACATACCTTTCAAGGCTCTCTGACTCTTATTACCAATATTAC